TTATTATTATGCCTCTAACGCTTTAAATTAACATTTTGCCAAACATTAAAAGTTCTTTTTAAAGGCTATTCTGTAGGTTAGACAAGATGAAAATATGTAAAAAGTATAAACCCCCCAGATATTGTGAACTAAAAGCAAACTTTGTGAAGTTTATATAATAAATAAAATAAATAAATAAGTAGAATATAATAATAAATAAATAATGTAAGTTTTGCACATTAGGCTCTGCCTGACAGGACAGGCCATGGTACCTTGGACTCATATCAGTGTTGTTATGGTTCCAAGGAAAGGGTCGCAATGGCATGGAAACAGCAAGTTTGGGCACACTGAATGCATACACATTTAAAACCATGAGATTTTGCCTCATTCTAGTGTTTCTTTTACAAATGGAATACAGAAAGAGCCTGAGTGTTCAAACAATCTTTTTCTGGTGTTTAGTATAGTGCATTTTGGCTGTTTTTTCCAAGGGGTAAACTATGAAATACGTGGCAACAGTTACAGAGGTCCTCTTCCCTGCTACTAACACTTGTAAAAAATCCAATTAAGAACAGGGGGCAAGTGATACAAAGATGTAGAGGAAAGGAAAAAGGGAGGAAAGCTATGCGAAGTAACTGAAACATTACAGTGCAGCTTATGCCTATATTCAGTTAAAATAAATTAAAAGAAAACACGTTAACTGTGGTAAAATAGTTTGACAATCAACATTTCACAGATATATACATGCAAAAGACTCAACCCTTGTTTTTCACTCAAATTATGCCAAACAAAACACAGGGCACTAAAAAAATAGTGAATGAAGTTTTGCTAGCCATGTAGCTGTATTTGACCACGCGTTTACAAGAAACAGTTTTTACTGGCAAATACTTTCTTAAGCTCAACAACTATACAACTGACCTTTTGCCCCCCAACACAAGGTAATAAAATTTATGTCAAATCTACTCCATTCACATTTCAAATATTCACTATACCACAGTATTTTCAAAAACGACAAATGTAACTTTTGCAAAAAATAAGTAATTGAATATTGAAATATTGGGTCATTAACTCTTTTGGAATGTTCTACTTTACTAGACGCTTGTACTGTCTTTAAATTAGAAACAAATAAATAAGTTCCTTAAAACATCATTCTGTGAAATAACTTGCAACTGCTCTTACACAATAATAAAGGAAATTGCCGAGTATCAGTGTTAATCAATGTTAATCACAAAACATCACCTAACATTAAATGTCTTGGATTAATCAGAAAAAAAGCTTAAATACTAACAGTGCAGAAAGAAGCTAAAAAACATTGACCTCACTCATTTTCCCCCCCTCTGGATTCTAAAGGTATTCAGCAGGCTCAGTTTTTATGTTGGTCTTTTAGATTTAAATAGATTGAATTGATTCTGATCAGAATACTTTCAAAATCACTTCTTTTTCTGCCTCAGTCTTATCAAGGCTAAACTGAAACGCTTCTCATTACACAGGTGTATCTACCTCTAAAATTTAACAAAACCAAAAAATTCCTAAGTTCTCAAACATTAAGAAGTCACAGATAAAAAACTGTCATGTAAGCACTAAAGACCTTTTCATTAACATTGTTTTGTTAGTAGTCCATTGAAGCCAAACACGTATTTACCTTTGAGTTTACAAGTATCGGAGCAACTGTTTGCAACTTTGCTGCTTGAATCTCAAGTTCTGCCTCAAGTGTCAATACAGAGCAGCCAATAAGGATATAGGAAGTCATCAAAATCTTTTCTTGTTAAGAAAAGTTTAATAATATACCTACAATAAATATCTTCTGCATCTCAGACAGAAGTTAGTGTGCCAGAATAGCAACAAAACCCAAATGCTTAGGAAACAAATTTGAATCTGTATTTCTGAAAATTGTATATAGCTGTCTTTCCAGACAACTGCTCAGTCACAGCAGTGATTTACTAATCCAGCTCAGAGGGATTTCAAATATTGAGTCCTGTTATCATCCCACCGCTATCACAGGAGCCCAAAGCAACATCCTCATCTCTTGCCCAATAATTGGGGAATGACAAAGGACAGACTGAGTACAAAATCGTATTGGACACAGGTGGCTTTCTGAGTCATCAGGTTATCTCTAATCCCTCCTGTAAAATAGGTAACTTTTTCAGGTGTATGTGCTGAAAAGGTTATCCACATAAAAACCTATGTTTTCCAACTAAGTGCGTGCTGTTAGTTACACGAAATGAAACTGAAAAGTCACATTAAGAGGTCATAAAGTAAGGACTATTAGTTTGATGATAACTTCACAACAGCCTACAAAAGAGAGAAGACATAAACAAACCCTGTCTGGCTTTTCTACCATTTTTCCAGAGCCTTTGCTTACAACATCGATAAGAGCTAAGTTTATAGCTTTAAGTCACTAGACCAACACAAACCAATGTAGCTAAATGCAATACTTGATATTCTATGCAAAAAGAAGCCAACAAAAAAATTACAGATGTCTCATAAGACTAAGAAGCTATCAGGGTAGTATTTTGCATGTATCTGCAGAAACAACAGCAGGAAATCTGTTTAGACGTCCTACCTTCTTGAACCGCCTGAAACGGATTGTTGCCGTCCACAAATGTCACTGAACACGTGATTTTCTCTGTTTGTAAGATTTCATCATTCTGGTTGAGATCAGCAACTGCCATTCGAAAAACTTCCTCATCTTTTTTGGCAGATTCATCAAAAATCGCCCCTGGGAAAAAAAGAAACAAAAAAAAGAACAAAAATCACATTGCACCTTTCACCTGCAGTATCTCAAAGCATTAATCATAAATACTAAAGCCATATTTTATGTTATAACATCATCACTTTGCTCACTCATGAAAAGCAGTTCTCTCAACGCAGAGCCCAGAAGTTACTTCACAATGGACAGAATTTCTAGATTTGACATAATTTAAAACACAAATTGAAAAGAAGCATTGATTCCAGCTAGAAATATTGGGGAAATCTAGTTAAGCTCAAAACAAATTATCTGTATAGGAATACGGCCAAGAAATGAAAACTAATTACCTTTCCAAAGGTGCCATTTCATTTAATACATTGAATGACTGCAACAGGCCAGGATATACATTTAACATCACGTCTAGTGACAATTAAAAAATATAAAGTTCAAATGAGGTGAGAATAAGCCTACAATGGTAGCAGCACTGGGAAAATGAGTTAGAATTGACAACCGTGATCAATAGACAGGTCAGCAGCTGATATAAACTATTTCAGGTCTAATTCCTATTGGATTTGTAAAACAACCACTCCAGCTAACTGTCTCAGTCTTGAAGTCAGCAAATTAAGTTTAAGCAGTTAATTAAAATAATTTCTGCCTTTATAAATCTGGCAGAAAGTGACTGTTCTGCCTTTTCCCAAAAACATTCAAGCAGAGCATCGTAAACAGGAAACCATTAAACTCAGGAGGAGTTGGCAGAGGGCGTCCAACCCTTGCACAGCCAATTCTCCAGGTGTACTGGAAAAGAACTTCAAGGCTAATCCAGAGGTTTTAGCTTCTTTTGGTTTCTTTAAACTATAGTGTCACTTTTGGCATCACTAATTTCCTATTATTTTATATTTGCTTCTTGCATGAACTCTTTATGCAGAGCTAGCTCAAATTACACCGTTACAGCCCTATGAAGAATGTTGTATTGTTTAAAACCCTCAAATCGGGGCTGTTAGATTTTCAAGCACTTTTAAAGCTTTCATTTCCAGGCAGTAGATTAAAAAGACAGAAGAGATGCTGCAAAAGCAGACTTTTGAAAACTCTATTTAATCATTATGAAATTTCTTCAGTTTTCAGGTTTATTTATTCTTGAGTGTTCGTTGTCAATGCATAAGGCAACTAAGTGTATGTGGTGAGACAGCCAAAGATAATGGGAAATGCTGATCACTGATGATTTCAGGTAAATACCTGCAATCAGTGCTGAAAAGAACTGAAAAAGATCCATTTACAGGAAATGGCTACTTTAAGAGAAATAAACTTCATACACAGTGTTTATCGTATTTTTCCCACTGACCTCCAATGATCATCTCCCTGCCAGCACCACTCATCCTACATAAGCATCATCTCTTCCTACAATCTGACCGCTTTGACTCCAGCATTTTCCCTCCTGAAGCTGCTGCCATCTGGAACAGCTGTTCTTTACTTCTCCACCTCATTCACCTGTCATCTCTGTGCAAATCTCAGCTGAAAACATTCATTTTCTCCCTTGCCCCCATTTCTATTTCCCTTGCTTTATCTAGCTCCATAAAGCAAAGCCACACATGGCTGAGAATATGCTTGGTATGCAAGATGCTGCAAACTGTGTCTTCTTTACAAAGATAACTTTGTGTATCCAGGCAGCGTTTAAGGGTACAAAAGACTTTGTCCAACGGTATACATTAAAACATGTTTGTTTCTAACCTCACTGAACAGTTCAAACCAAAACCACACATGCTTCATTTCGGGGATACACTGATGATGATAATGTAGCCCAGCAAACATTGTTAAAAAACAGTTGAAGGTACATTTTTACACAGCTATTAAGTAACTAGGTTAAAATTACAATTAAAAAAAAAGTTGGGAAGTAATGATAGTAATTAGTCAAATTCCATCCCTGTAGAGTAATTCTGTAACAACTGCCACACTGGAAGGCAGTGAACACACAGGTTTCATGCACGCACACAAGGCAGCTGTTGACCGTGTAGCAGAACAGCATGGCACAACAAAGACCTTCCAGCCAACATTGCAGAGTACAGCTTCTTACTCTACAGCTGGGAAATGTCATCTTATGCCTGGCTTTGTCCCCAGAATAATCCAGGTCATTTATTGACTAGAGGATACAGAAAAGTCCAAGTTATCAGTGTTTCTTTTGCACGTGCCATCACAAAAAATCCCCTTCAGCGCTACAGCCCGTCTACTGGGCAGCAGAGAACTGCTCCCCAGACAGTGCATTTGCCAGTCCAGGATTAAGTTTCTCAACAGATGAACCTTCTTGAGAATCTTTCTTTCACACACAGATATCCCTAATAAACTCCTATGCTTTTTCTCCCATTTCTCAGCCTGACACAAATCCAACCTGTGATGGCACGTGGATGTATAAGGAACTAGATTAGATGAAACTCCCATGCAGCCTTCACAAACAACGCTCTTTCTCACTGTAGTACAATTACTCCAGTTTTGCTCTGCTTATTTCATTTATGGCTCCATGTATCAGACAAAAATTTCAAAATTTCTCCTGTAACCAATACTACAGCTGGCATTTTACACAAATTACCTCACAGAAATGAGACCTAAACCATGTGCTACTGTAGGACTATCTCCATAGGTAAAACAAATAAATACGTAGGTGAATTAGAAAAAAAAAAAAAAAAAAAAAGTTGTAACCATAGTTCTTGCCTGAGCATCCTAGCAGGAATTAGAGAAACTAAGAAACTAAGGCCTACAGAAACTAAGGCCTTATTCATTAGAGTACCTAGCTTAGCTACGCAAAAAGCCTTTTAAAATATAACAAAAGACAACACTGTTCCTTTCAGGAGATGGCAGTGCGCAGCAGCACATGCATTACACTTCAAACAGTGATAAGAAATTTTATTTCATAATTGATTCTCAAAGTTTAATTTCAGTTTTCAATTAAAATTGGAAAACTAAAAAAAAAATAAAAATTCAAAAACCCACACAGAAAAAAAAAAAACACAAAGAAAAAAGCACAAAGCCCCTGAATCAATTTGAAATTGTTCCTATTCTCATACTTACATTTTTAGGTCCCTGTTTTTTACTTCAACTATATTCCCTGTGTCTATATATCTCTCTACGTTACACAGGTAAGAAAAGGGGTTTTTTGCTTGTTTTCTAAAAGAAAAGTCTTTTCAAGGAAAAGGTAAAAGGCATTTTTTGGATTGTGCTAACATTGCTGGAATATTTTCCTTTTTCTGTAGTTTCAGAAATCATCCTTTGGTTGAGAGGAGTGAATTTGCTGCTGTGAAACAGGTCTATGGAAATTTTTACAGCTATCTCAAAATGCAGCCATTAACTCCTTTTGTATTAGGTATGATTTTCTTTCCTTGTTGAGGTCTGAAACCACAGTGAAGTTTTGATGCTTATTCTTTCAAACATAGTCTTTTAACCAAGTCAAACAAACAAACAAACAACCCAAATGAACAAATGAAGGGTATCACACTTTAAAATTACTTCTATAGGGAGAGCTACATGCTCTCTCATTTCCTCATGTAGAGCTGCAAAATGAGAAAACTGGAATGACCCTAAACTTATTTAGAGTATGTGTCAAAAAAGAGCCCTTTTGGCTATAGGAAAAATTGTTACATGAAAGTAATGAACAGCTGAGGAGAGAAAGCAAATCATTCCTACAGATGCTGTAAGACAATCTCTGGAAGACGATGCAACAAAACTGTTTACAAAGGGAAAAGGTCTTCAAAATTATACAAAAGCAGATGCTGTTCATTTTTCTTTTGCCCCCACTGCTCACCTCAGCTGAAACAAGCCTCACATTAAGCACGTCATTTCTAACTACACTCAAGGAGTATTCCCATGATTGCATCAGGAGTCGACATGGTGACACAGCAACTACTTTGCACCAGTTCCCCACCCCCCTCCCTGGTTTTATTAGCATGTCATTACTTTCAACTTTATTTCAGAATCTGGATGAGGACAGCACAAATATAATTCTCTACGGGCTTTTAAAAAACCCTCAGCAGATCAGTAATGTCCTATAGCTTAGCAGAGAATTCTTTGTGTTTAACTATCATCTCACTCTCGTGTGACCACGTCACCAGTAACCTGTTGATTTAAATCAATATAGACCAAAACATACAAATGCTCAATAAGTTCAGCAAGTACCAATGACACCATTAGAAAGGCTTTCTCAGAGATCACTTGTCTTACTGACCCATACACATAAAAATATAATCCAAATTAGATATTATCAGCTATTTCTAGAGTAATTTGCACAGTCTACTGGAATCAGCCCAGAAAATGTAAAAACAGGAGAGAAACGCCTCATGACTGCAAGGATGAAGTACGAAGAGATTTAAAGCAATGTTCATCATTCTATTGACTAAGGAAGGACAAAGTCCACTGCTTGCAGTGTTTTCAAGTATTGTAATTTTATTAACAATGAAAGTATGACATCTCTGGACCTCAGTGCCCCATATTAGTCTCAGGAAATTAAGTACCTTGTTTCAAAGAGGAGGGGGAGTACATGGATTAAATGCCATTGTGAATTGAGGTCACAGTTCAATTTCAGCACATAAGTTTGATTTTTACTTTGTAACATTGCACATGCATACCTCAGCAATAGAAGCAATATACACTTTGCCCAAAAATTTACTAGTTCACAAGTCCAGGAATGTTTGGAGAGAGAAAGAAGGAAAAGGGGAAATGTAAAACACTTTTTGAGTAACTATCTGATGTTGTCAGCAGCTGCGAATTCTATAAAAATTCTTTGTCCCACAGATATTGCCAGCCCGTTCCAGTGTCTGAATCCAATTCCAGTGTATTTTCTCAACTGCTGCTAATATATTATTATTCTGAATGAGAAACTTAATGCAGCTGCTAGGAGAAGGATGGCTATGCTGTTAACGCTCAGAACTGGAAGCTGGGAGTTTTGAGTCCTCATGGTAAACCTCCTCAGAGATGTCCTGCAGGGCTATGAGCATATTGCCACAGGTCTATCTCCCCCATACAAAATAAGGTCAGGAGACATTAATTTC